CACACACACACACACACCACACACACCATACACACACACACACACACACACCATGCACACACACACACACACACACACACACACACTTGTTCTGGGGGAAAAAGCTGAGTTATTCTCGACTTGTTCTTTTTCTCATGTGCCAATCAAATCCAGAGCTAATCTTGACAAATCTGTTTTCTAAACATGTCCAGATGCATCCCTTAGCCTACATGATTCCCCTTTGCTCATAGAGAAGGTCAGGTCATTCCAACGGTCTCTGCTATGAAGACAGCCACCCTGCACCTCACCTCCTTTTTCTCTCTGACTTCCATTTCCTCCACCTCATCTCATGGTCCTGTCGCTCTATCGGAAATGTAATTTCCATTCTCCTCTTTCAGGTGCCTGTCCAACCATGTCCCAGTAGTATTTCCATGATAAATAAACTAAAAACACCAGATTCTCTGCCTCAGATGCTGCTTCCAGTGAAACCTATTCCCTCAGGGGACAGGTCCACTCTAGCCCTGAGAAGTTTGCCTGAGGGAGTGGGGACTGGGGACTGAATGCCAAAGGTCATAAACGCAGTAGACACGAAACATTAGCACATTAGTGGCCACCTGGAATCTGAACCTGCTTGAGGGCACCTCAGAATCATCCCTTTTCAGACTGGAAATGGGGGACAATTTCCCTTCAGCTCCCTGATGCCCACTGGTCATGGGCTGCCCTATCGTGCATACATCCACACTCCCAGGCTGTCATGTAGACAACAGAGTCTTCCAATGATCCTGAGCCAAAAGCAAGAAGTTGGTAAAGAAGCAGAGAGGGAATGTTCTGGAATTATACCTGGACAAATCTCGTTCTCACCTCAGTGATAGGGATAAAAGGTGAGTTAGGATACGAAGCTACTTTGTAAGTGGCATGATAACCAATAATATTCAGGCTAATGTGTTTAAAGACACAAGCAAGCAGTCTCATCACAGGTGCCCAGTCCAAGGCTAAGCAAGCATATCTGAGTAGGATGCGATCTGAATAGGATGTAACTTTGAATCTTCTCTGGGAGTGCATTTTATAACACACCAAGGGCTGACTATTGCTAGGCATGACACTGAGGCAGAAATGATGAATATCAAGTAAAAACTACAGTTGCTCTGAGTTTCCTGGCAGAATAGAACTTTTCTCTGACTCAAGGTCACAAGGAACAAGAAGCAGCAGACCACACACACATCCACGGTGTGAGGATATTTCTCACCAGCTTGGAGCTGCAGTGGTAACCTTGCCTTCCCAGACAACAGAGTACATCAGATCAGCCCTGTGTCCTGTTTCGTTCAAACCCTTGTTTAGGAGTCAGCATCCCAGTGTTCTAGAGCCCACCCTGCATAATCCAGTCCAATCCGGCCCCTTGAGGCAACATTGCATCAAATCCCAACAGCAGTAAAGAGTGCAAGGAATGAGGAGGAGGCCGGCAGAGGGCGAGGGGTCGTCGCTCTCTGCACGTCATTGAAGGTGAAAGTCGGAGTAAATAGGAATGAGAGTTCAGAGAAGACAGCTAGCCCACCAAGGTCTCACAAAAGCTCTTCCCAGGCTCGGCTCCAGTTCCCCTCAGAGGCCCAGCACAGCCTCGTGAGCCTCATGTGGAGAGTATGTACAAAGGGTTTTTCCATCCCATGTGACCACAGAATACATCCGATGGGAACTGTGCAAACAAAAGAAGGAACCAAGCGCCAAGCAAACAGCAGCGGGAAAGCACCTGGGGCAGGGCAGCAAGGGCCCAAGTCGGGCCCTCTGGACCAGGCTTGAAAACTGGCAGTTCACAGGTTGCTTCCGGCCCACAGGTGGCTATTGCTGCTGGGGCAGAGTCTTAAAAACCAGTTGAGCCAACTTTTATAAATTAGATTTTTACATAAAAGTCCAGAGTTCTCAACAAATTGCAAAGCTGGTCCCACTGGACTTAACTGCCCTTTACAGCAACAAAAATCTAAGTAAGAAGTAGCTCTTGCTGGGCGATGGTGTTGTACACTTTAATCCCAGCACTCGGGAGGCAGAGCCAGGCAGATCTCTGTGAGTTCGAGGCCAGCCTGGTCTTCTCCAAAGCGAGTTCCAGGAAAGGTACAAAGCTACACAGAGAAACCCTGTCTCGAAAAACCAAAAAAAAAAAAAAAAAAGAAAAGAAAGAAAGAAAGAAAGGAAAAAAGAAGTGGCTCCCTTGGATTCCCTGAGAGTCAAGACCCTGTACCCATCACCAGTCCTTACAGCTGTTGAACACCTCTCATTAAACAGCTGTTTCTCTGTTTCCATGCTAAAACTGGAAACAACAAGGCCACTGAGATGGTTCAGCAGGAGCCTGACCACCTAAATTCAACCCCAGGACCCGTGTGGTGGAAGGAGAGAACCATAAGTTGTCCTCTGACCTCCACACACAGCCCATATACATACAGGCATACAAAACAAATAAACAAAATGTAATGGAAATATTTAACAATGGAAACAATAAAAACACCTCATTTTTCTTTTTTATGTGGGTATGTATCTGTACAAGTACACATGTTAATGTGTACATGTGAAGGCCAGAGGTCAAACTGTATGTTATTTCTCAGGCACCATAGCTTGTTTTGTGAGACTGGGTCTCTCATTGGGCTGGGGATGGCCAAGCAGGCTAAGCTGGCTGGTCAGTGAGCCCCAGGGATGGCCTCTCTCCATCTCCACAGCACTGAGATTACAGGCGTGCACCGTCATACCTGGATTTTAAAGATTGAACTCGGGTGTGGTTGATATATTGTGCACCCCAATAAACTTATCTGGGGTCAGAGAACAGAACAGCCACTAGATATAGAGGCCAGAAAATGATGGCACTCATGCCTTTAATCCTCTCACTTGGGAGGCAGAGATCCATCCAGATCTCTGTGAGTTTAAAGCCACACTGGAAACAGCCAGTCAAGGTGACACACACCTTTAATCCCAGGAAGTGATTTCAGACAGCAGAAAGGTATATAAGGCGTGAGGACCAGGAACTAGAGCTGGATAAGCTTTTAGGGTTTTGAGCAGCAGTTCAGCTGAGACTCATTCTGGATGAGGACACAGAGGCATCTAGTCTGAGGAAACAGGATTAGCTGAGGAATTGGCAAGGTGAGGTAGCTGTGACTTGTTCTGCTTCTCTGGTCCTCCAGCATTCATCCCAATAACTGGCACTGGTTTTGATTTTACTAATAAGACCTTTTAAGATTCATGCTACACTAGGGTGCTCATGCTCACACAGCAAAGCTTCATGGATTGAGATATGCTCCAAGCCTGACACTTCATTTTCCTCCCACTAAATCTATTTATTTATATGGCCCCTGGCCACTGTGAACATTTGTAGTTGACGCCTGGTGCTAGCTTGGAGGCTCCATGAAGGTAGCCACCCACCTCACCACTCTCCAGAAGTTCTGTCTGTAGTACTTTACAGGGGCCTGACCACACACGCGCGGTCAACACTTGAGCTATGGGGCAGGAGGATGACACAGAATGCCTTTTGAAATTTAAAAAGCAAAAGGTTCCACATGGCCAATAAACTACAAAGTAGGTTTGTGTAAATGAACAGATTTGTGTTTTATTTTGTATTTATGAACTATCCACAATGCTTTAGAGATTAATTGATATTTCACCAGACATTTTTAAGTAGCACTGTAAGTTTCCCTACTTTTACATTAGCTTCTGGCCATGGAAGCCAAATATAATCTTGGCATTTATTTAGTCTTCAGGTGCTAATTATAATCTCATTTTTCTACAATTCCCATTATATTATTTTTCACACCTTCTTGCCTACTTGAGAAACAAAATTTAAAGTTTTGCTTGTACATAAATGGCCACAGCCTTTCTATTCTAAGATAAAGGCACTTCTAAAAGGCTTGAAATTTGGCTTATCCAACAGATCTTTATCTATCAATACATATGAAAGAAGAATAATTCCATTACCTGGCTGAAGCTCATTCCTTACTCCTTCCTTAGTATACTGAATGAAACTTGCAGCTAATGGAAAAGAAAAAAATCAATTAGCAACTGATCCACATGGCAGCTTGTTCAAGTTTATCATTTTATACCTGGAATACATGAGATCTGTCACTATAACACTGTAGACGAATGCAAACCATTAATTCCTATAGCTGTGTCCTACAGCTTCTCAATTTCAAACTTGATTTACCTAGAACATGTATTTTCTGGAAAGTTGTCATTGTAATCAAATATTGCAAAATCCAGAACGCTTCACCTTCAAAGATGCAGTTTTACTGTGCAGCCATGAGCTCTCAACTCACCCAGCAAGGTTCTCTCGCTGTTGACAGAGCAGCTGACAGCTTGCATGTCCTTCTCAAAGGTGTACAGATGCTGTTAAAACAACCAAAAAAAGGAGGGTTATAGTAAATAACAACTGTATGGAGATAATTCCTATTAAACTTTATACCTAACATTGTTTAGCAAAGCATTTCCTAAATGAACCATTCCCAAAGAACTGTCAGTGAACTAGTCTATGCTGATATGGCCTGGATTATTTTTCAGGGAAAATGTTTAATATGTTATGCCACATTTAGCACTGAAACTTAGCTATGAGACAACCAAACAGCATGGTTCAAAACACCAACTTTGAAACTAAGCTAGACCCCCAGTCAGATCCTGACTTGTTCTCCAGCTGTGCGACTTTGGACACGTTATTCAGCTTATCTATCCATCATACTTAGCAAAGGACTATAACATGCATCTTGTGTTATTATGAGCACTCAGAAATACCAGAGTGGTATGGCCAAAGTGTCTCCTGGGTTATGATGAGGATGAAGAGAGTCAATACCCACAAAGCACTTAGCACAACATAGGCTGTCACAATGCCACTCAGATTGTAAGCATGAGGGAGAAAGACTTTAATCAGATCACACACCTGACCATGATACCATTGGCTGTGCCACAGTATGTCTCATATTTAAAGACGTGGCTAAGAAATCTTCCATTACTTATTCTTTCCTTTTGTATGAATGTTTGAAATGTTCAAAATATCAGGAGAAGCCAGTCATGGTGTGCTCACCAGTAACCCCAACCATGCAGAGGCTGAGCAGAAGGGTGACAAGTTGAAGGCTATCCTGGACTATGTAGTGGGACCCTGTCTTAACAACAACGGGGGAAAAATCAAAAGATTCCATTTCATTGATGCTAAGGAACATGGAAACAGTCATGTAGATAGAAGATGTGTTAAGGACTGAGGACTTAAGTGTGTCACCCCGTCACCACGGGAAACAGCTACCAAAGGGGAGCTTTGAGTTGATATGAAGGCACTAAATTTGGGGCTAGAGAGATGGCTCAGCTGTATGAGCTACTCTTGCAGAGGATCCAAGTTCAGTTCCCAAAACCACCCATAACTGCATGTACATGTACATCCAACCCAGGAGCATCCAACACCTCCGTGGGCATTCCTGAGCATGCGCGCGCGCACACACAAACACACACACATACACACACAAACACACACACATACACACACAAACACACACACACACACACACACACATGCACACACGCACACACGCACACACTTAGTAATAAACCCTTCTAAAGAAGGTACTAAGTTTCTGCAGAAGTTTTGCTTTTTTAACTTTTTGCTCTAGTGAGTCTTATTTATAAGTAAGAAAAATCATAGATTATATACTACATTTTTAGTATTTCATACTTTTAACTATGGAATCACACATGAATAATCTTGATGCTTGAAAGATGCAAATGTTGTCAAACACAACATCAAACCTTCTAAACCTCGGGCAATGTCAACTCCATTCCGAGAGGGAAGTTTGTGACTTGTGCAATAGTAGCCTTCCAGATTGTCTAAAGTTATTTCCACATCGACTGTGCCTTACGTTTCTTAGTTTTCCAACATGAATGAAGTGTGCTGTCCTATCAAATGCTTTTCTTCATGTAGCAAAATGTTTTAGAGAGCCTTCTGTGCCAGTATGCACTTACAGGGGAGTGTGTGTGTGTGTGTGTGTGTGTGTGTGTGTGTGTGTGTGTGCGCGCGCGTGCGCCTTTTCTTGTGCTATGAAGTAGGCCAGGGGTCAGGGTCAAGTGTCTCCTCTATCATGCTCCACCATTTTGACTAGACAGGCTGTCCCACTGGTCCCTAGGCCCTGCCTGTCCCACTTGTAGCATGGGATTGCAGACACACGCCACCATGCAGTTTTTCACGTAGGGGCTGGGGATGTGAACTCTGTCCAGCAAGCGCTTCACCTCTGAGCCATGTTAGTCTTCTAACATAGCCCAACTTAATAGACTGCTAACACCTCAGCATTTATTCCCAAGTAACTTATTGGTGGGCATTAATTTGATTTAGCTCCCACTTTTAGGTACTAAAATTATCCAATTAGCATTTCATATATATTATTTTCCAGTGCTGAGGCTCAAACCTAGGGGCTTGTACAAGTTGGGCAAGTACTCTACATTTCTAAACCTCAAACACATCTTTGTGAGCCTATGGAAGAATTGCTGGGCCATAAGGAATACAAGTACAGAATTCTTCAATTGTGAACTGCTGTGGGATGGTCTGTATGTTAAATGTGTTGCTCTGATTGGTTAATAAATAAAACATTGATTGGCCAGTAGCCAGGCAGGAAGTATAGGCAGGACAAGGAGAGAAAAGAATTGTGGGAACAGGAAAACTGAGTCAGAGAGACGCTGCCAGCCGCTGCCATGGAAAGTGAGATGTAAGGTACCGGAAGGCCACGAGCCACGTGGCAACTTGTAGACTAGTAGAAATGGGTTAATTTAAGATATAAGGATAGTTAACAAGAAGCCTGCCACGGCCATACAGTTTGTGAGCAATATAAGTCTCTGTGTGTTTACTCAGTTGGGTCTGAGCGGCTGTGGGACTGGCGGGTGAGAGAGATTTGTCCTGACCATGGGCCAGGCAGGACTGGAGAAAACTTCAGCTATGGTAAACATCAAAAATATCTACCAAACTAGTTTCTGCAAAAACACATTACACAGTGGCTCATGGAACTGGATAATATAAGGCAGGTCTGGGCTTTAGGGATGGTTTTATCCAGAACTGGAAATACCCATTCTCTTAATTTTCTGGCTTTAATAAATTTTCAACCTCCACATGACAAAACTCTAAGTTCTGGTCCCCAAAGCCATGGCAGTTGCAAGCTCACATTCCATATGAGCAGAAGCAGAGAAGAATAGTCTCAGATTCCCAGGAAAGTCCGTTAGATGCTTGTATCCCACCAGCATGGGTCTTATTCCCTCCGGCATGCACGAGGGTGGACCAGCAGGGATGGAAGTGGAGAGAAGAGACAGAGGGTAGGGAGGAGAGAGCTTGTCTACTTCTGACTAAGTAATGTGCTGCTTCCTGTTTGGCCAAACCCTGCAGACAGCAAGACCAGGATGAAACAGACCCACTCCTCTATTCTCCCCACTCAGGAAAGCTAAACCCTGCACATTGTCCACAAAAGGAAACTAAGGCGCCTAGGAAGTTGAGGGAAGAAAACACAGGTTGGCTACATGGTTCTGCCAGGAGCAAAAAGCTGTGGGTCCGCTTGACAACCTCCAGGGGGTGAGGGTATGCAGGCTCTCTGGGGACTCCACCTTCTGAGAAATGAGGCAGTGATGACTTTTTTTGCATAATATATTCTAGACTTGAAGCTAGAGAAGAGACCATAACAGAAACTATGCCAGGAATAGACAGAAGCACACCCCCAGCCCCTGAAGCAAAGAAACAAGAAATCCAGTAAGACAGAGACTGTTGGGGCCTGCCTAACCTACTCTACCGAAACAGTCTGGGGAAAAACACAACCTCACTTGTCCCTTTACCCACAAGGCTGAGAAGGGAGACTAGAATCCCACTCCATCCAGATGCCCCAAGCATGGCCCACTCCTGCTAGATGGAGTCAGAAAAGATCAAGTAGAAATCAAGACTTTCATCACACCTGGTAGAAATCTATCTCCTTGCAGCACACAGAAAGCTATGGAGGAATGGTGGACATCCACCCAGACCCAGCGCTGGGGAGACCCGGCTCTTCTACAGTGCAGCACTGTCAGAAAGGGCTGAACGGGAAGCCAAGACTTGTCCTCTCACCTTTCCCAACATCCACCCATCAGTCCCTGACTCCTCACCCTAGTCAAAAGCTGCAAACCCCATCTCCGCCTGGCCCCAGCTGGGATTCATGAGAGGAAGCCAAGCAGAGGAGCAGGAGTCTTCACTCCGGCCACAGCAGGAGTGGGGTGCTGCCCTTTATTCCTCAACAAGTTCTGCATCAGAGGAGACACTAAAACAGAAAACTAAATAAGACCTAGAGTCTCTTGAGAGATGCTCAAACTATGAGTCATGCCAGGAGCCAGGAAACTTCGGCTTGAGTGAGAAAATGCAGACGTTAGGCACTGGGGTGGCAAATACTAGATGCTGCTGCAAAGATTTTAAAGCAGCTATGGTTTCAAAAACAAAACAAAACAAAACCCTTCAGTAAGAAGTTTAAAATGTGATTGAATAAAAACAGTGGAAATCTTAACAAGGACATATGAACGAAAAATACATAGAAATTTTACTCCAGAAAATTACAATAATCAACTTTTAAAATCTCAAATGATAGCAACATACCAAAAAAAATACAAGAACTTGAAGGGAAAAATACCTAATCTGAACCATACAAAGTAAATAAGCTGGGAGCAAAGAGCTGAACCTCACAGACTCCTGACTACCACAAATATCTGATTGACTAATTTGATGTAATTAAAGCTCAAAAAAAGAGAGAAGTGGAACTTTTTTAAGTGTTTGAAAACATAGTGGCTGATGAGTGAATTACCCCAAATTGGGCAAAAGATTTAAGAAGCTGAATGAAAACCCAAACAATGGAAGGTGGGAGAGCTGGCCCTGAGGTCATTAGAGCAGGAGAGCTGTCCCTGCCCCTCACCAGCTGCAGCTCTCCAGAGGGTGGCCCCTGTGCCTGGCCATGAAGGTGTAAGTCTGGGAGAGTCACCGCTGAGGGTGTGAAAGCAGAATTGGCCTCGCCCCTTGCTCATCCTACAAGGGGTAAACTCACCAGGGCAGTGCAGGAGAGCTCACCCTGATAGTGAGGACAAGGGAGAGCTGGCGGGCTGACCAACCCCACAGCTGCCCAGACCCAGAACCAGGGTTATGAGTTGGCCCACCCCAACATCCACCCCATCTGTGATCTGCTGGAGCACGTGAAGGGACTGGCCCTGCAGACCCAAAGTCACAGGATCTCCAGGACACAGGACAACAGCAGGATGTCCAAGAGGAGTCCCAGTGAGAGCCCAGCATCAATAGTGTAGCAGAAACCAGAGGCCTCGAACCAGACCAATGAGTCTTTGCAGTGAACATTTACAAGTAAAGATAAATGGACTAAAGGGTATACTGTGTGGCTCACTGTGTTATACTACAGCTTCCATGATGAGATTTCCCCCTCTTTTTTCCTTTATTTTTTTCTCTTAAATTTTATTTTATTTTATTTGAGTGGGGGGAGGTTGCAAGGTCAGAGGGCGGATACAAAGAGACAGGAAATGAATGGGATTGAGATGCATGATGTGAAAGACTCAAAGAATAAATAAAAAGAAAGAAAACCCAAACAAATCCATAGGGACACAGTCAAGTAAATTTTCAGAAAATAAAGGGCAAAGGAGAAAAAAAAACTTTTTCAAAAGTGATTGGGGTAAATAAAACCTTAAATACGGGAGAAAAATATTTTAAAAGACAGGTTTCCCATAAGAGGCCATGAAGGGAGGGACGAAGGGAGACATTTTTTCAGGAACCTGTCAGCTTGAATTCTAGACTTGACAAAGTCATCCTTCAAAATGAATAATAAAGGAAAGAAATGCTCAGGTAAAGAAAACTGAGTGTATGACCTGCACACCAACTCTAAATACTGTGAGTAAAGCAAATTCTTAAAAGACCAGGAAAGTGATTTTTTTAAAAAAGATATCAGGAAATCAGGACACCAGGGAGGAAGATGAAACAATGGAAAGAGAAAAATGCAGGCAGGCTGTAGTGGATTTCCTTACTTTATATTTCCTAAATCGTATTTGACAGCAAAGGCAAACGCATGCCATCACATGTGATCTTGAAAACTGCCAGAAGCGAAGGCCGCAGCACTTGCCTACCACGAACAAGGTCCATAGGACAAAACAAAACAAACATGTAAACACAAGTCTTTCAAGTTGAGAGTGCTTACTGCTCTTGCAGAGGACACAGGTTCAGTTCCCAGCACCTACATGGTAGTTCACAAGGCCAGTTTCAGGAGATCCAATGCCCTCTTCTGGCCTCTGTGGGCTTCTGCTTGCACATGACGCACATAAACTCACACAGGCACACACACACATTAAGTAAATAAATATATAGATAAATGTTTAAAGAGGGACAAAATGTTGGAGACAACTGTACATTTAGGAAACTAAATTACTTAAAAAGCAAGGTTCCTGAGTTTCACTGAAACTGGTAAATGGTCACCAGCAGCTCTCTGGATGACAGCAGTGTGTGCATGCTGACTGCAGTGGTCACTGCTGGTCACCAGCAGCTCTCT